GAAAAAAGACTTTGAAAAGAGAGTTACTTTATTTCGCGAGGCAGTCAAAACGTGAGGCATCACTGTCGTTAAGAATGAATTGAGGTTTGCAACATAATGTTATTCAGCAACGTTTCGCTCTTCTGTTCCTCTTCAGCCATTTTTGAGATTTAAATAGATTTCTTACATATTCCAGTGTGTCTGTTTTGAGTAACATGGTTCTGCCATCCTCTATTAGCGATTTTAATATTTCACATCGAAACTTTGTAGAATATCAGAAAATGCTGTTTAAGGGCAACGGTCATTCACACCATTTCTTAGACGATGTATTTTTTTAAGCGACTCGAGGAAATGGCTTTTGACAGGTCTTTTTCTCGACTGGGTGACGGATTCTGTTCTGGTAGTACGTTTCTTGGCAGAAAAAAATTTTTTTAAGTCAGACTGTTTAACACCGTACACAACTTTTTGGCAGGAATAAAGAATGGGAGCCATTCCTTTCATGCTCTCTTCCTCAACGAATGGTATTGTTTATTTCAGCGATCATAAGGCTTCGCCATCATTTGCTGATGAGGAACGACTCATTTTGATCGATTTACGAACACAACCGTCGCATCAACATGCAAAAATACAATTGAATCGAGCCACAGCGAGTTTAAATTTTTACAATTCCATTCTAAACCGAGATCAAAGTTTCATTTTAATTGTTAAAACTTTTCATCATGCTGCTTTCTCTTTTAAAAATCCTTACCTTTCTGGATAACAGAACTTTAGCGTTGTTCCCGCATTGTTTATTGATAAGATAGTCCCAATATTTTAATATGCCGATGTATGTTAAACGGCGTACAACCCTTCCAGTTTCAGATTACAGGCGTATTTTACCATCCCCTTGCTCTCCTAATTGCAAATGAGAAGGACGTTTAGCGTAGTATCGAGACACAGGTCCGTTGTATTTGAAAGTCTGTGGTGCCGGATACAGCTCGCACTGTTTTGTGGCACTGCTTCCCCAAGCACTTCTTGTAGACTTTACCAAGTAGACTAAGAGAGTGGATGGCTCCGTAGTTGCTGCTGTCTCTGATCCCATTGATAGCGTCAGCTGAGTGCCAATTTTTAAACGATTTTTCAAAACTCTGCGTAGTCTGACAGAGTTCGCCATAGAATACCGTTGCAATAAGACGCTTTTATCTCATCAGTTTTCAGTGATTTAATGCAGTTGTCTACGGTCATTTCGAGACTTCCCTTGCCAAAATCATTTTCGGATTTTCGCTGGAGTCTGAGATTGTTCCAACATTACTGCGGAAAAAGCAGAAAATCATTTCATATAACATTGGTCGGGCATTTTCTAGAAATTAGTGCTGTTGTCTGCACATCTGGCCATAGCCTCATCGTCGCTTAGAGGCAACGATCAAAATACAGGTATTTGGGTCCCAGAGTCCAGGATAAAGGTACCTGCCTGTGTGCATGCAGTCATTTTCTGAACAGATATGACACTTCTCATTACTTCTGTCCTAAGTGGCGTTAGTTTTTGCCCTTCTGAAGCAAGAATCAGAATTGAAGCGTCGTCTCCATGAAGTTTTCTGCGTGGAATGGTCCAGTTTTCACGGAATGAGCAATTGCGCTTTTGGTTTGACTCGGTAGGAAATTTAGTCATTCGATTTTACACGCGTTTGTTGACGGATTACACCTGATTATGATTAATACTGTTATAAACAGAACTACGTACCTAAAGCGTAATTAATGGTTATAACTGATGAATGGTAGCTTCAAGAACGATTTTTGTTTCTTTTGTTTGGTGAAGTAGCCGAAATGAGGCATTCTTTTGGACTCTTCTCCCAAGCTGTCTTTCCCACGTGTCACGCCTACAGGTCTTTGTTTGCAACCCCTGTTGACATTAAATGAAGTGTATGGCTTGTGCAGCAATTGGTACCTCGTTGGCTATTACGCTGAGCGCTGATCTGAAATTTTCAGCTAAAAGTACATACAGCATTACAGAAGTCACTGCCTAATCAACCGGTCGTTTATTCTGGCTTAAGCACCATTTACCAAAAGTCTTCTGGCCACGCCTAGTGTCTGCACTTCATTCCCATAAATGGCTCATGTTCTTTGTGAAAAGGTTAATGTTCTACCAAAGGCTGTCTGGATTGATTTGATACTTATCGGTATTCAGGGCTATGGGAACTACGTCTGTGACATTTGGTTGTTTAGGTAAGCGGTGACATTGGAGCTGTCTTTGGTCTAGGCTTTCCTCCGTTTTTGGGCGGTATGATGCTTTCGCCTCAGTGTCTGTCGTTAATCGCGTTGTTTCAGGGCCCTTCCGATTTGTTGATCAATATGGAGCGCAGCGTTTTATAGACACCATGAATAGATTCAAAGAAGCGTACGATGACGCACCTGAATTCGAGGTATGTGACCTCATAAGCGATCACGCAAAGAACGAACACAAACGTTTTTACGCTGCTGAGTAGTACTTTGCCCAAAGTTGTGACTAACCTTAAATTATTGACTCTGTGTTTGCACGTAGTACTAGGTGGTTAACATACACACTGATGTAAAATGATAAACTTTTTATGATCCTCTTGTTTGTAAAACCATGTAAAAACTAATAAATATAGCCATCTCTGGCAAAACATGACAAATTCACAAGACCAATTTTTTTATAAACGGTTTTTGCTTCTGTACTGCTGTGGATAGAAACTACAGTCATGTAGTGATACTTGCTGTATACTGTAAATGCAGCTCTGGATGCGCATAAACTTCTTTTAACTGTTGCGCTATTAGTAGCGCGATTAGTGCATTTCAAAGTGAAAGTTTTTCGTACTTTTAAGTATGAAAGTTTAATATTCATACTGAAAACCCCGTTAAAATATATATTTATACACAACGCAAACAAGACATTTGGACCAATGGACTGCAGATGTCACAGCAGCTGCGGACTACACAACTAAGTGTAGAAGTCAACGCAGGCTGCCCTAAAGAAGACTCGTGAGAGACTAGCTGAACCGTCGGTAGTGGTATTCGTATGACTGATCAACTTATTTGTTTGCATTGTGTGTAAGTAAACGTTTTTACACATTTTTCAATTTCCAGCGTAGATAAAGAATAAAAAGTACCCCAAAATTAAGCAGCCGTAAAAATGAATCGAAATGTTATGAAAATGAACGAACTGTTGTGTTTACCTTCTTGAACCAGAGCTGCGCGACAGGGTGGTGGAAAAATCTCATACTTGCAAATATAAATAATAACTTGGAATAGGTCTTTTATCCAACGGATTAGCTAGAGCTTCCTGCCAACATTGTTCAACTTTCATACGGCGAAGGGCAAGTAAATTAGGTTCGACGCACATCGCGGGAAGCCTCGTGCTGTTAGACAGCATAACTCACATATGTTCATTGCACTTGCGCTACACTTTGTTTCCATGCTCTACGCTTGTGCATTTCTATTGTTGCGCTGTCAGATTCTTATCAAATTTTACATTCCCGGCGGATTTATGGGTTGTAACCCCTTTCTCGTAGCGTCTTATCATATTTGAGCTACTGCGTTAAATTCGTAAAACTCTCTTTTTCCTTCTACTTGTGACCTGTTCGTGCAACATGTTTGAGCGAAAAGCAGGTTTTTGGCTATATTTTTTAAGTAGCAGACTTTCCACTTTTGAATTCTAAAGCACGAATGAAGCATATAATACAAGAAGACCTCGATATTAAAACTTTTAATATTTATCTGAACATTGTAATTTATTTCAGAGGGATGGTTTAAGGAAGTGCGACATTTGGATATTCATACAAAAGAAATTTTCATCAACTGATAAAAACATGAAAGTATTGATTGAAGAAAGTTTGAGCCCGTATTTCGGATGTCCTGCAATTGTGCTTAATATTCTGTTTTGTCACT